TGAACGGTGTGAACTCCACGGCTCAAACATCCACAGCTCGACTGTTAGAGCCTGTGTTTGTTTGGCTGTCGTGAGCCATCCTCCTTCCCCTACCTTTTGAAACAAGTGCCCATAATAGGGGAATGATCATCAACAACCAAGTATTTTGGTTTGGTGTTCACAAAGTCGCCATTCAACGCGAGACCAGCCACTGGTCGCTTCCAGGAAGGCGGCGTTTTCGAAGGTCCACGACGAGGGATTCGGCGGGAATCCTATCCATTGCCCCGGGCTCTGGAGACCTGCAGTGGCACTGTCATGTCAGATGCTTTAACTACGTGGTGCTTCTGATGAATTGTGTTGACTGGTCGAATAGTCTATATAATACAGTAGTCCTCAGACTAACTTATACTTATAATATATACTCAAAGCCAGCCATTGAGCACCAGGCTCTGTATATTCATTACTTGGTGCCATGGCCTAGTGTGTTCAGTGCCGGTGGCCGTCACCGCCTACACAAGGCATTTTGGCCTCAATGGCGATCAGATGCGTTTGCTGCCCAAGTGGGAAGGGGAGCGATTTGGGAGATTACTTTTTCAATCTTTTTCACCTGAGTGGTCACAGTCAGTCGGCCGACCTGGACCTGTTCTGGACAAGAGAGACCTATGAAGTTGAGGTGTTGCCTTGTCGGTATGAAGTGTTTGGAGTGCTTGTGGAATTTGCCACTGGCTCTGAGGCGAAGTCCTTCCCGGGCTGCAGGGTGCAGAGGACATCCCAGAACAGGGATGGTGGGTTGGAGGCTGGCACCTCCGACAGTTGGCAGGATGCGCATTTCAGGCAGAACAGACAATGAACATTTTTGCGGAGATGATTGTGTCTCCCAACTGCAGTCCAGACCCGCTCATGTGCCGAGATTGAGCAGGATACTACACATGATGCATGTCAAAGTAGACCCGTTTGGTCTTCAACAGCTAGCTGCACCCTTGAGAACCTTTCTCTTCCAGTGAATTTGACATGGTGTGACTGCTTGGAAGGCCTGCCATGCGGGAAGGAGCGATAACTTGAAACATGGAACCACTGTTTTGCACGTAGAGGCTGTTTTGTGGTAAGCTACTGATCTCTAAAGAATGTGTTCCTAGTAGGTTCATGAAATTAGTGCACAACGTTTGTAGTGCTGCCCAACGGCGCAAACCAATCTGACCCAAGGGTGAGATTCATATTCAAGGCTTAGATGATGTTTTTTGAATCTTGGTCAGGGCAAGAACCTCCAGCAGCCGCAAAGCAACGTGCCCGGCGATGTGTGCTTCCTAGATGATGTATAGGTTGCAAGAACCGCCGCGTGGGCAACACTTGAAGGGACAGTCTGTTTCACAACTCCCGAGGTGCTAGTTGGGGGCCGTTCTATAACGCACCTCGTGTTTGCGCCTTGTATATGGCTAGAAAACTGTGATGATTGTATGATAACAAGTTGAGCGCAAGTCCCGAGAAACTGAGCCAGAACCACCCCCAAGTTTTGCACAAGGTTGGCGCAAGCCCTGTGCAGCGCAAGTGCAAGTACGACGAAAGTAATTATGTAGAATGGGGGTGAGCACAAGGTCAGGCAAGTGATTGCAGGTCGTCACATCGGCCACACATTGCTTTTGCCAAACCAAGGGCTGCTTTGAAGAGAGAGCTGTAGTTCCCACAAACTCATTCAACGTCTGGTGTGAAACCAGAATCCGCAGCTTTACTTTATACGTGCAAGAACCGTGCAGCGCTTGCCCAAGTCCGGAGTATTCGGGAAGAAGTAGGATGAAGTAGGTTGAACAACGCACACGTGTGCTCGAAATTGTTGAAATGATGTACGACTAGGAAGGGCATTTAGGCACTTTTGAGATGTTTGAGGAATTGACATTTAAAGTCATAGTGCAAAAGAACGAAGCAAAAAAATCATGCAATTTCACTTGCAATCACATTCAATTGAGCAGTGTAAAACCTTTCAGACACACATATCAACCAAACTTGACAAATTCAGATTGTCGGGGCCAAAGTATCCGTCGGAGAAGCTTGCAGAACCCCCCAACAAATAGGCTACAGTAACTTATATGGCAATGCAATGGCACAGTAGCAAAGTCTCGTCAACATTGGAGTGAAGACGTGCAAGACTGGAGTGATGCAAACATGAAGGTGATGAATCAACACGTGTTGGCGTGATTGGTTGTCAACTATGCCAGAACATATCGTGATTGGTTGGCACGTTTTACCTTTGAGTGAAGGAACCTCCAATCATTCCACTGACGCAGAATGCACTATATATTATATAACTACAGAGATAATCTAATATGCCAATAGACATTCTTTCTTTGTTCTCACATTTCTTAATAGCCAGTGCTTTGGGCTGGCCTCTGTGCCATTCTGTTGTGATGGCATATGCCAAGTGCCTTTGCACGCCATCACGTCCTATGAATACCTTTTGCATCCTTGTGGCCCTCCTGAAGGGGAAGGCCTGGCAATCCATGGCAATCCCCTACGCACACACACACACACTTATGGATATGCGTACTGACTTGACAGCGGTGCCACACGCCGGCCTAGGTTAAAAAACCTGAGTAAAACAAGGTGCAAAAGTTGGGGGTCATCGCTCTTAGGTTAGAGGCCATCGAAGGCAGGTTGAGAGGCCATCGCTAGTAGGTTGGAAGAAAATCGAAAGAATCCCTATGACTACAAGGGTTACACCCTTATGGATATGCGTTCTGACTGTGAGGTTCTTGGCTTAGCCTCATGCCAAAGGAAGGAAATCGCAGGTACGTCGGAGTGGCCAACTCCGATATCACCAGATCAAATGGGCGTCTTTGTTGGTAGCGGTCCCAAATGATCTGCCGCTACCCCCTGCTGCAAAACGAAAACACTAAAAGCAAGAACAATCCAAAAGGAACCCTGTGATTCCAAGGGTTACACACACACGCCTCCCCGAAGGGAGGCATGTGTGACCTCCATCCTGCCCGGAAAGGAGGTGGGCACATGTGCACGCAAAAGGGACAGAAGAAAATGAAAAGGACGAGACAGACAAAGGTGTGTGTGGTTGCCGATGAAAAGGAACCAAGTGAAGAGGGACAACCGATGAGCCAAACCTCATTGTAACGAACCTGGGCCACCTGAACCTTGCTGTAAGTAGAGTACGCGTGCGTGTATGTGTACAAACTAAGGTCCGGACGATAGTGTGCGCAAGAGAAAGAAAGGATGAGGATGAAGAGACATGAAGACAGAAGGACATGAAAGAAAAGAAGGGGAAAAACGTCTGTGAGGGCGGATGAAAGGGGAACTAAGTGAAAGGGGACAAACCGATGACAGTCCAAACCTCATTGAGAAACCTGTTGCAGAAGCCTAGTTTGCTTGTAAATACGCCACGCGCGAGGAAAGAGGGGGGAGGGGAGGAGGAAAAGAGAAGGAGGGAGAGAAGGAAGCAAAGGTGTTCCCAGGTCCCAGCTACTGCACAAGCGTCCAAGGACACACCAAAAAGGTAGGGCTCCCAGCTATGACGAAAGCATCCAGGGACGCCCAAGGAAGAGGGTGAAGAGAGGAAA